GGGCAGAACTCCCAACGGAAGGCCGTCATTCTGAGGGTGGGAGGTGGGTGGAGCACTTCAGCTCTGTGAATTAGTCACATTTGCTGCTCAGCTGGAGTTATGGAGGAAGGCAGCTGAAACTACTAACGTTAAGTGCCTGCCATCACGACACGTGCTGACGTTAGCATCATGACATTCTACTGACCCCTCTCTGCTGGGCAGTGATTTAAGTGTGATGGGAAGGTTACAGACCACTGGGCCTTCCCCTTTGTTCTGGTTCCCATGCCTGCCCCAGGCTTCCCTGTCCTTTTGTCATCTCTGATATTGGTACCCTCGCATCCAGTTTCTCTGGGGGCATTTCTCCACCTTTCTACTTGGTGTCTAATGGCCTGGGAACAGTGGCTCGCCACTCCTCCGGTGCTTTCTCCCCTCTGGCCTTGCCCACACCCTGCAAAAGGAACCAAAGCAGGGGGGCAGACCGTGCCAGGTCCCAGGCCGAGGCACAACTGACCGATCAGTTGGGTTTCAGGGCCAAGTCAGTGATTTGCGAGTCAATGCTTACCAACCAGCTCTCCAGAAAAAATCCCTGATTTGTAGGACTGGCCTATTGTTGTGATGCCCATGCACCCCTCAGATTTGTTTCAAGCTGCACTGTGATGGGTCTGTGAACACAGGGTCAGGAGGAGGTGGACATAACCACTCCTGCACACCCACCAGGAGCCCAGCGAAGGACAGCCACCGCTTCCGAGACAGAGGGGAGCCAGCGTCAAAGGCGTGCTCTTGAATCTCTCCCAACACACCCTGCCACGTGCGCACGTGCGCCCCTCAGGTTTGGGGCCACCTTTTGCTCTCCAGTGAGAGGTGATGCCAGCCTCACCACGAGGGGGATGTGAAAAGGCTAAAGGAAGTGACCTGCTCCTTTTGGTGTCTCCAGTGTGACATGGGGAAAGCATCCACTTAGAGTGGCATATGCAGCTGCTAGGTGAGCCGTGACTGAGACAGGGTGGACAGTGAGCAGACAGCGGATGTGATCACAGTTCTCAAAGAATCCTGATGTCAGTCAATGGCCTTGACCTTCTCAAGTTCCTCTTCCAAAATCAAATGGAGATGCATTCATTTCTCTTCCTTTCTCCATCCTTATACCCAGAGCACTGGGTCATAAGCATGACCAAATGACCCAAACTGGACTGCTAAGGGGACAGACGGAGTGGCCAAGGTGGTCCACAGCCCATCAGACTTAAGTGGCTGAGAACTGATCGGACATGGAACTGTCTCAGCAAATGTTGCTGACGAAGGCATACAAGCTACAACCATGCTGAAAAATCCACATGTCTGGACAAGGCGCCGCACCTCAGCATCTGCTGGGCTGTTTTATGGGCCTAACTCCTAAACACAGCCAGGCAGAGGCCAGGCCTGGAGGGCACACCGCTCCCCGGAAGCACAGTGCAGACGAGGGCATGCGAATGTTTGTTCTGTTGAGCTGCTCTCTCACCATTGTCTGCCATGCTACTGTTATGACATGTGCCCGATCAGCCTTCGCTCCCTCATTCCACTGGCATTTGTTAAAACAACATTCACGGGGATCCAGTCTGGATGTGTCTCAGCCTGGCTGTAACTTTCCACTTTCAGGGAGATGCTAACAAGTCCTGATTTCACAGCTTTTTGAAAACAAGAATTCTAAAGCATACACACGGGAGAAAAATTCTCTTAAGGAGGAAAGGAAAAGGGAAAATTGGGATTTTAGCATCAACAAAAAGGTAAACCAACTCAACAACAATCGCAGGAGGCCATTGTTACCAACTAAGCTCCTGCACTGGGCTCCAAGTGAGCAGGCCAAAAATCAAGATGGAGATACTCATGCTAAAGTTCCACATCACCTTGCCAACATCAAGCTGTTTGTCTGAGCTTCTGAGAAGTCAGGATTAGAGACACAGACAGCCAAATTTCCCTTACAGGCTGGTTTCGATTGGCATGAAGTTCCCTCTGCCTTAATCCTTGCACACAAAAGCTAACCTTAAGTATCCTGATGCCAATCAGTTATTTTTCTACCATACTGTCTCCCTGCCCTCATCTTACAAGAAAGCAACTTTGAAGCCGGTGCCGCAGCTCACTAGGCTAATCCTCTGCCTGTGGCACCGGTACTCCGGGTTCTAGACCCGGTTGGGGTGCCGGTTCAGTCCCAGTTGATCCTCTTCCAGTCCAGCTCTGCTGTGGCCTGGGAAGGCAGTGGAGGATGGCCCAAGTGCTTGGGCCCTGCACCAGCATAGGAGACCAGGATAAAGTACCTGGCTCCTGGCTTCGGATTGGGGCAGTGCACAGGCCGTGGCAGCCATTTGGAGGGTGAACCAACGGAAGGAAGACCTTTCTCTCTGTCTCTCTCACTAACTCTGCCTGTAAAAAAAAAAAAGAAAGAAGCAGCAGCACTTTGAAAAGATCAACTACTTTTTGGTATGTTTTTGTTTCAGCTTTTTTCAGCCCTTTTTATCTATAAAACAAACCTCTTTTGCTCCCCTCATTGGAACACTCATTCTGTTTTACAGAATGAAGGGCAGTCAGATTCTAGAATAAAAAACAAAGCCAACCAGGATTATTAAATTGTCGTAATTTTGTCCTTTGACACACGAGAAGAAGGAAAAGTTACAGATCCATAGTGGGTAATAGGAATATTTAATCAAAGAGTAAAATGTAAAGTATCCAACAATATGATTGTTTTGGGGCATGCAAGGAAATATAGCAATGTAGTTTAAAGATTTATTTATTTATTTGAAAGGCAGAGAGAAGGAGAGGGGAAGAATGGGAGAGAGGGAGAGAGATCTTCCATCTTCTGGTTCACTTCCCAGATGACTGCAACAGTCACAGTTAGGCCAGGCTGAAAGCCAGGAGCCAGGAGCTTCATCTGGGTCTTCCATGTGGGTGGCAGGGGCCCAAATACTTGGGCCATCCTCTGCTGCTTTCCTGGGCACATTAGAATAGAGCAGCTGGGACTTGAACTGGCGCTCATCTGGGATGCTAGCTGGCAGCTTAACCCTTATCCCAGGATACCGGCCCCAGAAATGCAGGTTGTTTTTTTTTTTTTTTTTTTTTAAGATTTATTTATTTGAAAGTTAGAGTTACACAGAGAGAAGGAGAGGCAGAGAGAGAGAGAGAGAGAGAGGTCTTCCAAGCGAAGGTTCACTCCCCAGTTGGCCGCAACAGCTGGAGTTACACCGATCAGGAGCCAGGGGCTTCTTCCAGGTCTCCCATGCAGGTGCAGGGGCCCAAGGACTTGAGCCATCTTCTACTGCTTTCCCAGGCCATAGCAGAGAGCTGGGTCAGAAGTGGAACAGCCACGACTTGAACCATGCTTATATGGGATGCCGGCACTGCAGACGGCAGCTTTACCTACTACACCACAGCGCCAGCCCCAGAAATGCAGTTTTAAAAGAATTTTCCTATCTACACCCAAGCCACCTACTCCACAGAATTAGAATGAGTGGAATGAGACATCTAGGGTATATGTTTTAAGGAGGCATTCACTGTCACGTTTATGTGTTGAACTGCACTTATGATCCTAAGCTTGAGCACTACCTTAAATATTGTGTCCTAGGTGCCTCAATCTCTTCCCAGCCTTGCAGGTCTTATTAAGGAACTACAAGAAATTAAAAAAAAAAAAAAGATTATTTCTTTCTTGGGCTTGGTCTGTTACCTCTGTTCTGAGCCGGAGAGGAAACATTTAAGGGATTAGGGACAGAGGTAATTCCTATGGGGAAAAACCAGTGACCTTGGCACTGAGTGTTGTCAGATAAATATGGGTTTACTCAGCCCTTACAGTGTCCTTGGGCAGTCCCGTTAGCCTCTGGAGCTTTCCTTTCTTCACTTTTGAAGTGCAGATAATAACACCTACCTCATTGGATGGTTGTGAGCATTGCACATGATACACAAAAAATGCCCAGTCTCACACAGCGCCTGGCTCATAGTTTGTGCTCATTAAATAGCATTCATATTGTTGATCATGGCAGTGGTAATGTTGGTGACACTGACCAGGTGAGAATACACACGTGGAATTGCCACAAATGCTACCCTCAGATACCCACGTACTCGTGAACTACAGATATTTTTTTTTTTACTATAAATATGTATGTCCTCGGCAATGTTTGGGACATATTTACACCGGGGAAATGTTATTCACTGTCTATTTGCAATTCAAGTTGAACAGGACAACCTGCCTTTTGTCTGGCAGCCCTGGGCGGGGAGTTGTTAGTACAGTGACTCTGATATGTGCCTGCCATGGGTGGGTGGCAGGAATGCACCTTTGGACAGAAGGCCCTGAGGCCCGGTATACTCTGCAGTGCCAGCAGGTGACCTGCTGAAGGCTCCCTCGGTGCTTTTGGCTGCTGGCTTTCTCTCCCTGTCTTTCTCTGCCCAGAAGCTTTTTCTACTGCATGCAGAGAATGAATGTGGGAATGACCGTGACAGATGGCAATGCAGATGGGAGAGGCAGGGTGTGTTGCATTGGTTTAAAAATACACAATAGTCAGCTGTCCCCATGCACCCCAACCAAACTCTTGGGAAAAGCCTGACTCTTTTCTGGGGGCATCCCGTCTCGCCAGCCCTATTTTTAGGGAGTCTTTGCTATGAATTTCATAAGAGAACAAAAGGAGAGGACTCTCAATAAGCACTTTTGCTATGGAAGCAGAATTGTAAAAATAAGCCTCAGGTGCCCTGGTCCCATTGCGACAGTCTAGGTTATGTTAATGAATATTCCTCCAAAAAAAGGTAAAAATCATGACTTTCATAAGAAATAAAAATGAACACAGGTTACAGATTTTGTTTAACTCGGTAATGAGGGAATTGATAAGAGGTTGTAATAAGTTCAAAGAAGTCCAAAATATCACACATTTCTACAGAGTGAAGGAAGGAAGGGGCCAGTGCATATAGACCTGGCTTTGGGGTGATTGTGGGCAGAATTGTACCCCCCAAATTCATCACGTTAAAATGAGGTTTTGTTTTGTTTTGTTTGTTTGTTTGTTTGTTTGTTTTAGGGTGCCCTAATCCAGCGGGACCAAGTCTTCTATGAGAAGCGGTGGTTTGGACCCACACAGCAGGAAGGCCATTGCAGATGTCAGAGGCAAGGAGGGAGGCCTCAGAGGGCATACACCCTGCCAACACTTGGTCTCAGCCTTTAGGACGGTGAGAAAAGAAATGTCCGAGCTCTCTGGGACTTTGTTAGGCTGCCTGAGCAGGCTGACTACTACCAGGTCTGTAGGTAAGAATTATTTTGCATGCCTGTGAGGCATCTACAACTTCCAGAGTTGGAGGACAGTGCCCTCAGAATCAAATAATCCAGCCAGCTTGAGCAGGATCAGCAGGCTACGGCTTATGGGTCAAATCCAGCTTTGATTCACTGTCCGTTCTGTTTGTTTTGTTTGAAAGGCAGTGCTACAGAGAGAACCATTGGTTCACTCACCCAATGCTGTGACAGCCAGGGCTGGGCCAGTTTGAAGCCAGGAGTCCAGAGCTTCTTCTGGGTCTCCCACGTGGGTGCAGGGGCCCAGGGGCTTGAGCCATCTTATAGCTGCTTTCCCAGGCACATTAGCTGGGAGCCGGATTGGAAATGGAGCAACTGGGTCTTGAACTGGTGTCCATATGGGATGCTGGTGTGGCAGGCAGAGGTTTAGCCTGTTATGCCACAACACTGGCCCCCACTGTCCATTTTTATAAATGAAGTTTGATCAGAGCACAGCTACATTCAGTCCTTTATACATATTTACTACCTGGACTTTTACCAAACCAAACCAAAACCAAAACAAAAACAGGTATGGAGCCTTCTGTAGACAAAGCATCAATATTTTCCCACAGTGGAAATGTCCTTCCAGGCCATCCAGTCCAGGGGTTCCCAGAGATCTCTCAGGTTAGTAGAATTTCAAAAAAGGGATGGGGGCGGAGTAGTGATGGGATCTTCGGTGCTCACCTTTGTCAATTATCAATTCCTTTATAAAAGAAGATATTTTAAAACAAATGCAAAGCTTGTTGCATTGTCCTTTCCTTCAATTCTCTGAGTTTTAGTGAAAATGTTACCACCAACCAGATAGTTGATGGTCTGGATTGTAGAATCGCTGATCTGGTCCTACCCTAAGTGCCAACACTGGCTCTGTCCAGCAAGACTGCTGGCTTGGACTGAGAACTCTGGGCTTCCTCCTGGTACCCAGGCTGAACCCTGGGGGGAGAGGGGCGGGCTCTGGGGGCTGGTTACCTCCCGTGCGCTGCACACCTCCCTTCAACGTCAAGGACTCTTGCTTGACTTTACATGATGTGTTCTTTCCTTATTTAAAAAAGAAAGATATGCTCACTGCAGAAAACTTGGGCAAAAATAGATTTTTTAAAAGTTTGTCTTAAAAATGTTTATCTCTACCAGGGTAGACCTGAAGATTCACTGAGTCACCAAGGAAACCAAAACATGCTTTCATCTAAAAATCCTCAATGGACCCAGCACATCTCCCAAAACCCAAATGGAGCCTGGCCCATAGCAGGCCTCAGTGCCTACAATGGCATTTCCTAGGTGATCCAAGAAAATACAGCAAGTCCTTTTGTGTTTTTATTTCCTGATCACCAAAATGGCTAATATGGTAAGTCTTTGACACAAAACATATCTGTCGTACTTATCTTTATTCCTCGGGATCAATTTTTTTCCCTTTCAAAGATTCTTACTTCCATTTAAGAAGCAAGCATTGCTGACTTTCATTAATTAGTTTTCATCACACTTTACTGTTGAAACAATTTAGGTAACTTAAGTCTTATTATGAACCTGCCTTAACGATACATACAATATAATGGCCTTTAAAAATTGATCTGCTAGACTCATGATTCCAAAAGACATGGCTCTAGCAGTTCCTAAGAGACAGTGTCCAAGTAATTGAATTATTTCACATTCGTGTCTGGTCACCTAAATGAGAAACATCTTAAAATTTATATTCAAAATAAAAACTGGAGAATATTTTTTCATCTGTGGTTTGCAGCCTTAAAATCCATAATGAATCACTGTTTCCTGTGAAAACATCATCCATACCTCTGCTTGCCAGGGATGTTTCAAGCCCCTTTCAGACAGTTTTCATTAATGTTGCCTCCTTTAAGAAATGGAGATTCAGGGGCCGGCGCTGTGGTGCAGTGGGTTAAAGCCCTGACCTGGGGTGCCGGCATCCCATGTAGGCTCCGGTTCAGGTCCCAGATGCTCCTCTTCTGATCCAGCTCTCTGCTGTGTCCTGGGAAAGCAGTAGAAGATGGCCCAGGTCCTTGGGGCCCTGCACCCACATGGGAGACCCAGAGGAAGCTCCTGGCTCCTGGCTTCAGATCGGCACAGCTCTGGCCATTGCGGCCATCTGGGGGAGTGAACCAGAGGATGGAGGACCTCTCTGTCTCTACTTCTCTCTGCAACTCTTTCAAATAAAATAAATATTTAAAAAAAAAAGAAATGGAGATTCAAAATAATCTCTGACAGACTGGAAGAATAAAAATGACTTTGCCCAGGTTCCTGTCTAACTATTTCATGCATATCTGTCTTTATTTCCCCTTGAGGTTTCACTATTAAAAAATTGATAAGGTCATTTTACTTTCTAAAAATAGGCAAGCATAGTCCCTTTTCAAAAAATTCCTTCCTTGGGCCGGCGCCATGGCTCAATAGGCTAATCCTCTGACTTGCAGCGCCAGCACACCGGGTTCTAGTCCCAGTCGGGGCGCCAGATTCTGTCCCAGTTGCCCCTCTTCCAGGCCAGCTCTCTGCTGTGGCCAGGGAGTGCAGTGGAGGATGGCCCAAGTGCTTGGGCCCTGCACCCCATGGGAGACCAGGAGAAGCACCTGGCTCCTGCCATGGGATCAGCGCCGGCTGCGGCGGCCATTGGAGGGTGAACCAACGGCAAAGGAAGACCTTTCTCTGTCTCTCTCTCTCACTGTCCATTCTGCCTGTCAAAAACAAACAAACAAAAACAAACAAACAAACAAATTCCTTCCTCTCCTTGATGAGACATCTGGCCGCACCTTGTTGGAGCCTTCGCTTGAATCGCACTCACATCCTAACACCAATCTTGCTTATTTCTTGCACTTGCTTATTTCTCTTCATCTCCAGTGTTTAATCTTCCCAGTCAAGCCTGCCTCTCACTGAGCTCTGCCCATGTTGGGGTATCTCCTTTGTTCTGAACTGGTCCATGTGGGTTCCCCACCTTGCATCTGATGAGGAAGTCCTGGAAGTTGCCTCTGTTCCCAAACGCTCCCATTTATTCTCGTAAGATTTTTCTTCCATTTTGTATGAACATTTTCCTGCTCAGTAACTCCCCAGCACCCAGATCTCTGTTTCTTTCTGACTTCCTTGGGAACTTTTCATAAAGTTCAGCCTTGAATCATTTTGTCCCTTGAGCTAGAATAATTTTCTTTCAACCTGCTGCTACTCACCAGCCATGGTGTCAGTTGCGTATGGCCCTACCCTATGCGAGGGATGCTCCGTGTGCTCCATGTGTGTTATTTCCAGTCTTCACAATGGCCTGGCCAAGCTCCGTAACCTTAGACAAGTTACAAAGCCTCTTTGAGTCTCAGTTTCCTCATTTAAAATGTGAATACCACCACCAGTGGAGGCTGCATTCTGTATCTAGCACACCACCTTTCTAAGGTGGTTGTCTTACTTCCCTCGGGTGTCCCCATCACCACCTTATATAGGGCTCAAGGTATAACTAGACCTCCACACATGTTACTTGGTGCTGTAGTTTGAACATGACTTAGCTTCCCAACTCATGCAGACATTTACTCCCCAGAGTCATCAGGGTACTGACAGAGTGATAACATGATCTAAGCATGATGTCTGGGAGGTACACCTAAGTGGGAGGTCTGTAGGTCATTGGGGGCTGGCCCCCACAAGGCAGTTCTTGTGAGAAGGTTGATTACATACGTCTGACTCAGGCATAGCTACTCTGTCTGCTTCTTAGCTCACCACTGACCATTCCTTTGCACACAGAGTTAGTGCCATCCTCGGGTCCAACCAACAGAGCCCACTCAGTCTTAGCCTGTGGAAGTTGTTGGGCCCCTCCCCAGTGTGGGAGACCTGGAAGAAGCTCCTGGCTCCTGGCTTCATATTGGCCCAGCCCAAGCCATTGCAGCCATCTGGGAAGTGAACCAGTGGATGGAAGATTCTCTCTCTCTCTCTCTCTCTCTGCCTCTGCCTCTCTGTAACTCTTCCTTTTAAGTAAATAAATAAATATTAATAAAATAAAATAAAACACAGCAGGAAGAGCATTCAACCCAAAAGCTCAGGAAAGGTAGATAGGTGCAGTAACTTAAAAAAAAAAAAAGAAAAGAAAAGAAAAGAAAAGAAAAGAAAAGAAAACCCTTGTGTGCTGGCATGCCATATTGGAGTTCCAGTTTGAGTCTTAGCTACTCTGTTTCCAATCCAGCTTCCTGCTAATGCACCTGGGAAAGCAGTGGAAGATGGGCCAAGTACTCAGACCCCTACTACCCATGTGGGAAAGTAGGATGGAATTTCTAACTCCAGCTTTGGCCTGGCCCAACCCTAACTCTTGTGGCTTGTCTGGGAGTGAACCAGTGGATGGAAAATCAATCTCTGTCTCTTCCTCTCTCTTTCTCCCTCTCTCCAACTTTGTCACTCTTTCAATAAATAAATAAATCTTAAAAAAAAAAAAGAAAAAATAACTCTAGTAAGAGTTACCAAGGGATTACAGGAGAACCTCAATCCATTCTGAAGGCAGTTTCTCAAGTGACTTTAGGACCTCCCACTAGGCCCCACCCCTTAAAGGTCCACACCACACCATTTCCCAACATCAGCACACTGAGGACTAAGCCTCCAACACATGAACTTCTGGGAAACACATAAAACCATGTCCAAACCATAGCATCCCACCCTTGATCCCCACGGTTCATGTCCATCTCACAGCAAGTGTGTTCACCCTCCTCCTTCTGGCTTTATTAAGACACAATTGACAAACAAACAAGACACTGCTTTTTAAAAGTGTAATGTTTATAAAGCCACATCCTAAGAACTCCATTACTAGGTCAGATTAACTGGATTTGTTCATTATTAGTCAACTTTTTTTTTATTTTTTGTTAAAATAGACTTGTTAGAAATCTATCAAATTTTTATCTACTTCCTTGCCTTAGGAAAAACGAGCTTTTGGACACATAACCTCTATCCACCTTGGTGACTCAGGATGTTGCAGGTGTACCCGGATTAGGATTCGGAAAATCGGGGATCATGCTGAGGAGGAAGGAGAAGTAGCGTGGGCAGCCTGTGCCATATGAGCCAGGACTCCACTCCCAGAAGCTCTCTCCTTACTTGTTCCAGATACGGTTAATACTGTGTAGTTGCGGGTTACTGTTAGCTGGATTCCAGGAAACTAAAATATCTCTGGCCAGTGTTTTTGCAATTCTTGTATTCTGTCCTCAAGGGACAAAACTTTAAAAATGACTTCAGCCATTTGACTGAAATCATTTTTCACACTGGGGTGAGTAAGAGTTCCTTTGCACACATATATTGTTTATATCACCCGGATTTATATTTGTGTCCCAAATAATGTTTGTAGCTTTAGAATTCTCAATTCACTTGTGCTTTGGAGACACACTAACTACAACACAGTGCTGGCTGGCCGGTTGTAATGAGGGCCACCATTTGTGCAATTCAATTTCTAAGCCCACATGTCTCCTATGAGCCTTGAAATAGTCATGAGATCTGCCTCCTAAAATATGTGATGACCTAAAAGATGCAAAGACAAAAGAATCTAAAAAATGAGTACAGATTATTTTGTTTCACATGCACTGCAGTATCCAAATTACGTGCTTTTTAGGATATTTGAAAAATTGCTGTCAAATTGTGTGAAGTTTTAAGAAATCACAATCATTATCTATCTGTAATGACACTGAAATGTCCATGGCAGTGCTGATTAAATCTTGTGCACATTAGAATCATCTGATAAACTTTTTAATTTAAAAGACTTATTTTATTTATTTGAAAGGCAGAGTGAGAGAGAAGGAGAGACAGAGAGAAAGAGATCTTTCATTCACTGGTTCATTCCCCAGATGGCTGCAATGGCCAGGCCAAAGCCAGGGGCCTAGAATTCCATCCTGGTCTCCCACATGGGTGGCAGGGACCCAAGCACTTAGCCATCTTCTGTTGCCTTCTGAGGCACATTAGCAAGAAGCTGGATCAGAAGTGGAGTGGCCAGGACTTGAACTGGCACTCATATGGGATGCCAGCTTTGCGAGCAGAGACTTTACCCACTGTACTTCAATGCTGGCCCCCATCTGGGGAGCTTTTGAAAATCTAAATGTCCAAGCTGGAGGTGGGGATCAAAAGACCCAGGGGTGGGGGCCAGGTATGAGTATTTGTAAAACATCTCTAGGTGATTACGAAGCTCAGCAACATTTGAGGACCGATGATGGAAGGAATTTCATGAGTCAGCACTTTGTGGCATAGTGTATTAGAGAACTCAGCTGAGTACTTTAATTCACAGACCTCGTGGATATTTACCTTTAAAGCACTTTAATGTTATGATAGTACATTACTTCTAAAAAAATAAAAAAGAAACTATCAGTGAAATTGAAAATTATTCTGTAATCTGAATTAGTGCCAAATCATTACAACCCATTCCCTTTTAAGGGGAAGAGCACTGGGAACATCCCAATCCTTTTTATAAGAACAGAAGCAGGAGAAATACCGCCAGATTAAGGGAAGAAAGACTATAAACAAAGAAAAGCTAAAATGATTATTTACTAAGAATTGCAAATGCTCATTTTCTGGGTCCACCACAAAGTTCCATTCTCTGCTGCTAGGACTTTGCGTAATTCACAGGGACGTGACGGTGGAGGGCTCGTGATTTTAGCTTATCAAAATAAACCCGAGGGTTCCTTTCCTAGCCTTCAGTGAAAACGGACATTTCACTCATCTTTAAGGAACAAAAAGGAAAAGAAAGGAAACCATGTCCCCATCGCGAGCTTGCCTGCCCTTTGCATCGCTCTGTAGTAGAAATGTCCATTTTAAGTGGTCAGGCTGCATTCAACTGTGTGAGGAGCATTGCAGCATTGTGTCAGGGGGTCTGGCGGAGGGGGTTCTTCACAATAACACACACACCCCGGACTTGGAGGAGTTACCCTTCCCATAACCCACAGGCCTGTTGGGGTCATTCAGTTCCTCAAACAGTCCTGTTTCTATAATTTCTTCCTGCCATGCGATGGGGACAGCCCCAGTTGCAAATCTTTGGAAGAACTTCTTATCTTTGTCATCAAATTCTACCCCCCGAACCTCAGAGAAATCTTCAATTTCATCGATGTCTTTGGCATAAACTACCGAAGGGTCTGGCACAAATGGGGGTTCAACCAGGCCGGCCTCCAGGCGGGGAAAGTTGATGGTTTGGAAGAAAGGGTGTTTCCTGGGATCATCAGACTTTTCTCTGCGGAGAAAGGAGAGCAATCAGCCCAAAGCACAGACCACCAACAAAACAGAAAAGGTTCCAGCAATAACAGTGGACAGCATTCTTTTCTTATAATGCATTTCATTTAAACATTATTTAACTATATTTATTTGAAAGGCAGAGAGACAGAAAGTGAGAAATAGAACGAGAGAGCCATCTCACATCTGTTGGCTCACTCCCCAGATGCCCACAGCAGCAGCCATGACAATCTGAACCTCCCACATGAGTGACAGGGACCCAAGTACTGGGACCATCATCTGCTACCTCCCAGAATGTGCATTAGCAAAAAGCTGGAATCAGGGGGCCAGCGCTGTGGCGCAGTAGGTTAATCCTCCACCTGTGGTGCCGGCATCCCATATCAGTGCTGGTTCTAGTCCTGGCTGCTCCTCTTCCGATCCATCTCTCTGCTGTGGCCTGGGAAAGCAGTAGAAGAGGCCCAAGCGTTTGGGCCCCTGCACCCACATGGGAGACCCGGAAGAAGCTCCTGGCTCCTGGCTTCGGATTGGCCCAGCTCTGGCCATTGCAGCCATTTGGGGAGTGAACCAGCAGATGGAAGACTTTTCTCTCTGTCTCCCTCTCACTGTCTGTAACTCTACCTCTTAATTAAATAAATAAAATCTTAAAAAAAAAGTTGGAATCAGAAGCAGAGCCAGAACTAGAAACCAGGCACTGTGATATGGGATGCAGGCATTCCAAGAGGTATCTTAACCACTGCACCAAACACCCGCCTGTTTTAGTTACAGAGAAAGTGTAAGAAATAAATAGAAGCTTTGAAAAATAACAACTTTTAAAATCACTCCCAATTCTGCAATAGGAAGACAGTAGCATTGTCATTGTATCCTAACAGTATGCACCTGTAGATGCGACTTTTCAGAGTTGAGCACTTGACATGACTTTAACTTCTGGTATTTGGTGAGAGCACCAGCAAAGTTCAGTGGGGTCAGGTCCACTTGCCTGCAGCTTCTAGTTGTTGTCTCCTTAGGGTCACACAGAACAAGCTAAGCAACTCTGCTCCACATAACCACCGCTCACATGGTGAAAGCAATGAGGGCAGGACGTTCGGCATAACAGTTAAGAGGCTGCTTAGGGTGCATAGGAGAGCACCTGGGGTTGAGTTCCAGCTCCAGTTCTGGATTGCAGCTTCTCGCCAATGCACACAATGGGAGGCAGCAGGCAGTGGCTTGAGTGTGAGGGTCCCCGCCACCCTTCTAGAGACCTGGATTGAGTTCTTGGCTCCCAGTTTCCACCTGGCCCAGTGCTGGCTGTTGTGGCCATTTGGGGGATGAACCAGTAAATGGGAGTTTGTGTTCTCTCTCTATATATATATATTTCCACCCCCACCCCCCGCTGTGTGTGTGTGTGTATGTGTGTCTATCTGTATCTCTCCGCAGCACACATACCTTATTTGTAACATGATATAATTTCTAGGAGCCCCACATACCTCCCCAACAGCCAAAATAATCTTGGTGGTATTTCTTTAAAGATTTATTTTGAAAGTCAGTTACAGAGAGAGAGAGAGAGAGAGAGAGAGAGAATCTTCTGTCCACTGGTTCACTTCTCAGAAGGCTGCAATGACCAGGGCTGGGCCAGGCTGAAGCCAGGAGTTAGGAGCTTCATCCAGGTCTCCCATGTGGGTGGCAGAAGCCCTAGCACTTGGGCTGTCCTTGGCTGCTTTTCCCAGGACATTAGCAAGGAGCTGGATGGGAAGTGGAATAGAGAGGACACAAACTGGTGCCTATATGGGATCCCAAGGTGGTAGGTGGCAGCTTTACCTGATATGCCACAACAATGCCAGCCCCTTTGGTATTTCTTCAAAGACTTCAATCATTAGTAATTTGCAATGACTGAGTGTGGTATGAATGAGCATACATTTGGTGCTGAAGACTATGGTTATTGTTATGAAACCCTCCTCTGTGCTAGAAGTTATTCCAGCATATGTCTTATAATTAGGAAAGAAGTATTTTCCCAACTGTGGAACCCCTTCCACTAGTTATCTGTTGCTGTATAACAAGTTGGCCCAGAATTCAGTGCCTTAGAACAACAAGCACCCATCATCTCAGTTTCTGTGGGTCAAGAATCTGGACGTGGCTTCACTGGATGTCTCTGGCTCAAGGTCTCTCACGCAGTTGCAGTCAAGCTGTTGCAGGGCTGGTCTCATCTGAAGGCTTGGCTGGGGCATCATCAAGTCTCCATTACTCACTCCATGAGCACCTGCACAAGGCTGTCTTTTGACATTGAAGGCTGACTCTCTCTAAGGCAAATGAGAGTGAGAACAGAGAGACTGAGAGAGAGGAGACACTCCAAAACAGAAGCTGCAGTCTTTATTACCCATCCTCAAAGGACCCCTCATCACTCCTCCCTTGTTTTATTTGCTAGAAGCCAGTGAACAAAAGAGGCAGGGATCACTGGGACCACCTTAGGCCTGCCTACCCCATCTCTCTTGTTTCCTCTTCAGTCCAGGCTCTAGCAAAATTTAAAAAGGGTCACTTCGTGGCTTGAAATTCAAAAATAATTTTTTATCTTTCTTTGATCGGAATAGATGCGTTGGTGTGATGAAGAAATGTCTTCTATTTGGCAGACATCAATTTCCATCATAAATCAACTTTGACAGAGACCGATAAACACTCCTGATCCTCCTTTTACATTTTCCATTCCACATATCAAAAAGCTTTTTGGGAAAGGATTGAGGGCTTCCCCCACCATGTTGAATGGTAACTGTAGCAGATTCTACCCAGTAAGACAACCAGAAGCTAAGACCAATAATGATACCGCAGATGGTAACTAACATTTATTCAGGGCCCACTCTTGGCTAATACGATGTTAAACTCCCCTCTTACATTAACCAGCACGGCGGCCCAGTCTGACCCTCGTGCCTGTACTTTTAACTCTTTACTTGCTTCTGGGTTCCTAAACAGCTGTGCAACTGAGGAAACCAGAGAACGTAGGTGAGTTTTCCAAAGGAGAGGTTGTGATAAAATTTTCGCCCAGTCTGACCCTCGTGCCTGTACTTTTAACTCTTTACTTGCTTCTGGGTTCCTAAACAGCTGTGCAACTGAGGAAACCAGAGAACGTAGGTGAGTTTTCCAAAGGAGAGGTTGTGATAAAATTTTCTCATGGAGACAAGAAACTCAGTTGGAAGCATCTGACGCCCGGCCATGCCTCAGTTGCTCTTCTGGGTCTCAGGCCTTGTCCCGTCCAGAAAGGTCCATCAAGAGCTCCTAGACTTTTCCTTCCGTGTCTGGAGCATTGCATCCAGAGGGGCTGCAGGGTGTCTCTTTTCTTTCTAAAGCCACCAAGTTTCCATCCATCAAAAGAAGGGAAAATGCAGGCTTGCCATCTCCTAGAGCCCACAGACCCAATGTACCCAAAACGTGTTTGAAATCTACAATATTAAGAGCCTTGAGGAGAGTTCTTGTGATAAATTGAAGCTTCCAATACAGATTTTTTAAAACTTAGGTTTACTGAGATATAATTTACACAATAGTATTCACCTTTCTAAAGTATCGGATTTTTCAAGGTGGCAGAAGGACAGTGCAAATCCTATCTTAGATCAGGAATGAACCCCAGACTTATGTTTCTCAAAGAAAAGGCGTTGCAGTCAGGCCAGGTGCCACGAGGAGGGAGTTTTCAGCACCTCCACGATGGCCAGCAGCGGGAACACACTGTCCCAGGGGTCCAGAAGCCCTTAAACCTCACCCCGAGAAGCTTTAATGTGGATCAATGGAGAATGTCAAGGAGCTTGGTAACCTCGGAAGACTTGGCAAGGCGGTCCTTGTATCAGGATGAACAGTTCTCAAGCAGTGCCGCAAGCAATGCAGGCCTCCGGGCCTTGATCCGGCTGACTGCAGCCCTTTTGCAACTAATTGTGAAAGACTAGGGAACAGCAGCCCAGGCAGTGTCCGTGGGTGCCTGTACCACCAACAAGGACGAGGCTTTGCAACCTCTGCTCTCTCTGCTCCACGGAACGGGCCACCGCACAGCCAATCAGTTTTACCATTTGCAGTAGCAATGCTCACCACAGTGCACAGTGCTGCCATTAGAAATGGCACGGAGATGACTTTACTCTTGACTCTTTTCCTGGCAGCTTTGTGCAGTGTACTTTGGACAAGTAGGAGAGGCTGTTGATGGAGGCATCTTTAGCTTACATCCAAATGGGCAGCTGCAAGGCAGACTGGAGTGGATCAGATGTCAGATCATCAGCAGAGGCTCTTTTGTTACGGAAGCCTACAAGGAGATTATAATAGATTTTCTTGTAATAGTCACTGAAGCAAAGAGACCACCTGCCCACCCATGAGGACCACACTGTGGGATTTGTTCTGCCAAGAACAGTGGGTATTGGCACGGGGTTGTGTTGCCTTGCGTGGTTATTTGCTCTTGTTCTTCTGCTTTGAAGGACTGGAAGAAAAGCTGCAAAAAACTTAACTGAGCTTCACGGTTTTCTTTATTGGGAAAGGTCATAGTTGTCTCTGTTCGGAGCCCCCGCGAGACGCTCAGAAAAGCTTTGGCTTCTTCTCTGACTCCCAGACCCGTAAAGGCAAAAACAGAACTCCTCCTCAGTGAGGTGTAAAGAAGGGTCTCTAACTTATCCTAAGTGCTTGTGTACACAGCAGGGAGGGGCACTGGAACTCTGCGGTGTAACATGCTGTCTAGGCATTTGTCTTGGCCTTGGAGGACACCACAGAGTTCATCAAACATTACCTCATTTGAATGAATTTTTGAAAAAATACGAAGAGTTGGAATGAAAGTGTCGGAAGGTTTGTCTCTCACTGAACAGCTTTTTTGTTACATGTCTTTCCTCTAATGGCGTAAACAGATCGATTGAAAACAATCACGGCGGGCGCCGTGGCTCAATAGGCTAATCCTCCGCCTTGCGGCGCTGGCACACCGGGTTCTAGTCCCGGTCGGGGCGCCAGATTCTGTCCCGGTTGCCCCTCTTCCAGGCCAGCTCTCTGCTGTGGCCCGGGAGTGCAGTGGAGGATGGCCCAAGTGCTTGGGCCCTGCACCCACATGGGAGACCAGGAAAAGCACCTGGCTGCTGGCTTCAGATCAGTGCGATGCGCCGGCCGCAGTGCGCCGGCCGCGGCGGCCACTGGAGGGTGAACCAATGGCAAAAAGGAAGACCTTTCTCTCTGTCTCTCTCTCTCTCTCACTGTCCACTCTGCCTGTCAAAAAAAAAAAAAAAAAAAAAGAAAACAATCACAACAACAGATGTTTTATCAAAATGCTCTGCTTGATGAAGCAGCTTCAGGCAATGATCTAGTGCTATAAGGTGGCATTTTCATCAAGAAGTTTGTCAATATTTTATTTATCAATCCAAAGTGTGCTTGTCAAGCTTCGAGATAGACTTTCATTCAAACTCGCTAATCAGGGCATCCCCTGAGTGGTGTTCCCTTCATCTATAGAATGCTGGCTTCCCTGACTCAGCCACTGTTCCCCTCTGCTCCTCAAGCTGACAGCCAGGACAGGACAGGAGAGCGTGGTTGTTAGTGGGCACCGTGGCTCGTTCACCTCTCCTGGCCAGGCACACAGAAGCCATTACCAGCCAGCTCTCTCACCCTTCGGCAGGACCTGAGGACAGCAGGGTGTGTGAAGTCAAGTGAGTCACTTCCCAGCTGTGCCAGACAGAAGCTCTGTGAGTTCTCTATGTTCTCTCTTCTGCTCTGGCAATCGGAAGTCACAAGTTCCAACGTAGCTGTGAGACTGGAAGCAGCCTGGATCTCTGTGTCACTGCTTGGAAGAGAGGTGCTTTGGAGATCTACTGGACCCTTAATGGGCTTTGTGTGAATGAGAAATCATTTTTAAAATTATATATATTTATTTATTTGCAAGGAGCGCGCGCACACACACACACAGAGAGAGAGAGAGAGAGAGAGAGAGGTCCCATCTGCTGTTCATTCTCCAAATGCCTGCAACAGCCAGAGCTGAGCCTGGCTAGAGCTGCAGGCTGGAAACTCAGTGCAGGTCACCCATGTAGCTGGCAGAAACCCAACTACTACTTCCATCGCCGCTGTCTCCCAGAGTCTACTTAGTAGGAAACTGGAGTCCAAAGGTAGAGCTGGGCATCCAACTCAGGTACTCTGATATGTGATGCAGGTGTCTTACCTGCTAGACCAAATGCCCTCCCTGAAAAATCATCTCTTTTTTTGTTTCAAGCTGCTGAGACTTGATGCTTTGCTTGTTACCAGGACGTGATCTATTCTGACCTTACTGATATTAACAACCTCAGCGTCGACACAGGAAAATCAGTTCCATATTTCACTTCCACACAATGTAGAATTTTATCTACCTTCAAAATACTCATTAGTTAGTTTGATCATCTCTCATGCTTTGATAGTTACCACAAATGAATCTTGTTTGGCTGTTTTGAAAAATCCAGTCAGCTTACCTCCATGCCGGAACATCTTGAGCTAAGGCAACCTTGTTCCAGAGCCTCCAATGGCAACGATTTAGAAGACTGAGTCACCTGGCTGCCTAAGTCCCGGTGCTCTGTTCGAAGCCAGTCATGCTACTTCCAGGTTTAGAGTTTAGATTTGCACATACGTTTAGATTTTGAAAACTCAATCCAAGTAATTTGAGAAATTCAAGCTTACTGTTCAGTCAAACTAGTGTCTGATCGTTTCCTTAAAACAAGTGAATAATAATGATCACTTATTGAATAATTCAGAAGCTATGTTTTACCTACCTTTAGTACATTAAGTCTAAACCCCCAAATGCTCCACTGTTTCAGCTGGGGTTCTTTGCAGAAACAGAGCCAACAGAATGTTGAAGAGGTCCAGAAAGCACCACTGTGACATCATTTTGAGCCAATCAGCATTAGGAGATGTAGGTTCTGAACTCCCCCATCTGCCCAAGAGAACTCGAGGGTCCATATCCCCTCCCCAGGAGATTCGCACTGGAGAGGGAGGAAGCCAGCACCACACTAAACAGACTCTGTCACTTCTCCCATCGTGTCTGCTGAAGCTCCATCTATCTTTCCTAAAAGCCATGTTTTCCTATATCACTCTTGTCCCTCTTCCCTTCTTCTGTTAAGATGGTACGCTGGGGCCAGTGCTGTGGCACAGTAGGTTAATCCTCTGTGGTGCTGGCATCCCACATGGGCGCCGGTTCTAGTCCTTGCTGCTCCACTTTTGATCCAGCTCTCTGCTATGGCCTGGGAAAGCAGTTGAAGATGGCCCAAGTGCTTGGGCCCCTGTACCTGCTTGGGAGACCCGGAAGAAGCTCCTGGCTCCTGGCTTCGGATCAACTCAGTTCCAGCCATTGTGGCCATTTGGGAAGTGAACCAGTGGATGGAAGACCTTTCTCTCTGTCCTCTCCCTCTCACTGTCTGCAACTCTACCTCTCAAATAAAATCTGAAAAAAAGATGGTATGTTTACTCTGAATTCTGCCTCCATGTCACATTTTTTTCTCATGTGAATTCCAGCCTATGTACATGAATAAAAATTTGTCTTTTTCTCTTATGAAGCTGTATCTTTCATCAGTTTAATTTACAGATGGAGTCTCCAAGTATTGCTACTAAGAAGGTATTGGGGGTATATATATATATATGTATATATATACTAATATATATGTATATACATATACATATATATACTCATACATATATATGTATGTGTGTCTATATATGTATATATATATACACACACACATATATATACACACACACATACTCTCACATATATATGAGTCCTGGCTGCTTCACTTCTGATCCAGCTCCCTGCTAATGCACCTGGGAAAACAGTGGAGGATGGTCCATGTCCTCAGGCCCCTGTACCCATGTGTGAGACCCAGAAGATGCTCCTGGCTCCTGGCTTTGGCCTGGCCCAGGCTTGGCCGTTATGGCCATTTGGGAAGTGAACCAGCGATGGAAGATCTCTCTCTCTCTCTGTAACTCTGACTTTTAAATTTAAAAATATTTTTTTAAAAAAAGATACTGGAATGTTTTTCTCTCCAACAGAGTGTGTGTTGAGAGAGAGATAGAGAGAGGGATTTTAAGGAATTGGCTCATGTGACTGGGGAGGTTGGGCAACCACAAAGGGTTGCAGTTGGAGCCCAAAGGCAGTCTGATGGCAGAACTCTCATTGGCTCTGGGAAAGTCAACCTTGTTCTATGAAAACACTCGGCTGATGGAACGAGGCCCTCCCACATCGTGGTGGGGCATCTGCTTTACCCAAAGTCTACTGATTTAAATATGAAACTCATCTAAAAACCTGCACAGAAACATCTGGAGTACTTGATCAAATATGTAGGTACTATGGTCTAGTGGAACTGACACATAAAATTGATCATCACACCCACAAACCTCTCATTATATATATGAAGATATTGAGATGTAAAGAAAGCAAAAAAAAAATGAGGTGCAAAACTAATCTCAACTATACTTAATAGCTGGCAACATTATATGCACTCCCTCAGTAGCTGTTGAATGACTGACTATATTTTACAGAAGGCATTTGAAATGGGCAGAATTTTCCGGAAGTATGACTATCAGTACTGATAGTTTGAAAAAGTTTTTTTTTTCATTTTGGAATAGATAATTTATTTGCACGATTCAAAATTCAGAAGACAAGATTGGTATATTGTGCAAATTCTTTTTTTTTTTTTATAAAAATGAGTTATCTATTTATTTGAAAGGCAGAGTTACAGAGAGAGAGAGAGAGAGAGAGAGATCTTCCATCCTCTGGTTCACTCCCCAGATGGCTGCAATGGCCAGGGCTGGGTCAGGCTGAAGCCAGGAGGCAGGAACTTCTTTCAGGTTTCCCACATGGGTGCAGTGGCCCAAGTACTTGGGCCATCATCTTCCGTTGCTTTCCTAGGCACATTAGCAGGGAGTTAGATCAGAAGTGGAGCAGCCAGGACCTGAACCAGTGCCCAATATGGGATGCTGGCACTGTAGGTAGAGCTTTACCCTCTACGCTACAGCACAGGCGCCTGTGCAAATTCTCATTTGCATCCCCATGACCAGCCCCAGTTTTCCTTTCTTATGGGCAACCAATCCCAGAAATTCCTTGCATGTATTCATTAAAATATTCTTTACAACTTTTGAATTATGTATTCTTTCTCTCTTTTTCATGCAAGTTGTACCTCTTTTTTTTTTTTTTTTCACTTTAAAATGTATCTTGGAGTGTTCCATATCAGGTGTTTAGTGTTTGAAAGCACTGGAAATACTTAACAAAATAATATACAACTATCATAGGAAAATGATAGCCCTCAATTCCAAGACATGCCACAGATCCAAAGCATTGTCCGGGCACCCTGGGCAGCGCTGTGATCGGCAGTCATTGTCCAGGCACCCTGGGCAGCGCTGTGATGGCAGTCATTGTCCGGGCACCCTGGGCAGCGCTGTGATCGGCAGTCACCTCGTTCCGGGGGCTTACCTGCTTCCTAAGCGCTGCTCCGGCTTCTTAGCCAGGAAGAGCCTGCAGATATCTTTTGCTTCCTCTGTGAAGCCATCATGTTGGAATACAACCTCTTCTTTCAGGGTTCTTTGCTTTAGGTCTTCTTTGCTGATCTTTTCCTTGTAATCTTTGAATGGGGTTCGTCCAGCAACCATTTCATAAATACTGCATCCCATCGCAAACCAGTCCACAGGGTAGGAATAACTCACCTTTTCCATAAGGATCTCGGGAGCCATGTAACCATTGGTTCCAGCCTGTGCACCCCAAACCAAACACAAAACAAAAGAAAACCACTAAGGGGAGTGTAACAGGCACTGCTGGTTGCCTACTCAATACCCAGTCTCCTTTTGTTTCCTTGTTAGTTTGTTTGAAGTACAATGTGTCTAACCTCCTCTCTCTCTGCTTTCCCAGCAGCCCCTGATGAATAACACATAAAGAGTTGTTAGCTAAGGGACAGACATGGCTGCTTTGGAAGTGGGAAAATTACTTAGCCTCTCCTAGTCTCATCACCTCATCTTTTTTTTTTTTTTTAAAGTTATTTTATTTATTTGAAAAGGGGAAAGAGGAGATAGATGATAGAGATAGATAGATAAATAGATAGATAGATAGATAGATAGATAGATAGATAGATAAATAGAGAACCAAGTAAGCATTCTCACACACTACTTCACTCCCCAAATTCCCACAATGGCCAGGGCTGGGCCAAGCCAAAGCCAGGAGCCGGAACTCAATCAGTCTCCCATATGGGTGACAGGGACTCATATGTGAGCTGTAATCTGCTGCCTCCCAGGATCTGCATCTGCAGGAAGCTGGATTCAGAATTCAAGGTGGGACTCAAACCCAGGCATTGTGATGTGGGTTGCGGTGTGGTCACTGCTGTGCCCAGCCCCTCACCACTTCACCTTTAAGATGAGTTGTCTCTCTGATCTCAGAATAAATGTCTTGGTTTGAACAGCAGACTCTGGCTTGTTATCTTCCCTGATGAGCCTTTGGGTGTGTATAGATTGTGTCCATTATGAACAATGGGCTTGTGAGAATCTCAGTATATGTTCCTTTTCCTTCCTTCTGAGTCATTTCTTTGAGACACACATGCCAAAATTAACCAACCTCATTTTTTAAGATTCAAGGATAACAGAAAACTAAAAGTATTTTTTAAGGTGGAATATTTTGGTAGTAATGGTGGATGTCCACACACTATCTAACCCATGATGTTTCTTACTCTATTTGCTATGTGGTGACATTAAAACCATTCTTCTCTTCCTGTCTATGCATTAAATAATTAACACCATCATTTTAACTGAGAAAATTCCAATTTCACATGACACTTTATTTAATATGCATGCCAGAATACTGTAGGCATTTTTTTTTTTTTAGTGACAATGTATGTCACATGATCATTGGGTTAAAAACACATGTAAGTTGATAATTGTGGCTAAGTACATCTAATGTAAAATTTACTATCTTAACCAGGTTTTTAAATTTTTTTTTATTTTTTGCCAGGCAGAGTTAGACAGTGAGAGAGAGACAGAGACAGAGAGAGAGCTATAGACAGTGAGAGAGAGACAGAGAGAAAGGTCTTCCTTCCGTTGGTTCACTCCCCTAATGGCCGCTACGTCAATCCGAAGCCAGGAGCCGGGTACTTCCTCCTGGTCTCCCATGCGGGTACAGGGCCTAAGCACTTGGGCCACAGCAGAGAGCTGGACTGGAAGAGGAGAAACCGGGACAGAACCAGTGCCCCAACCAAGACTAGAACCCGGGGTGCCAGCACCGCAGGTGGAGGATTAGCCTAGTGAGCCACGGTGCCGGCCCATCTTAACCGTTTTTAAGAGTATGGTTCAGTCATGTTTAAATACATTACTGTGCAAGCAATCTCCAGAGTTCTTGCATCTTGCAAAACTGAAACTCTGTACCCATTAAGCAACAATGCCCCATTTCCCCTCCTGTTGGCCTCTGGCACCCACCCTTGCACGTTAGTGTCACGGTCGGTTGCTGTGATTTGACTACTGTAGGTATCTCGTATAAATGGAATTATATGTTACTAACCTTTTGTGACTGTGATTTTAACACATTCATTCAATAGATATTTAATGATTACCTATAACATGCCTTGTGATTATAAAGTATATATTTACATTATAACACGTTTTCACCAAACGAATTGGCTTTTGGCAGAAGCACAACGAATAGCTTCTGTAGCAATTAAAAATACAAACAAGAAACATCTTAAAGTGACTGTAGGTTTCTATTAATACCTAAAACTGATCATTTAAATCATCAGCAGAGATGTGGGAGGCAGATACATGTATTCTGTAAATTAACTCAGACTTCTAGAAGAATAAGAAGGCATAGAATAGTAAAAATCAAACTGTTCCTGTCCATCAATGAGGTTGGTTAATTTTGGCATGTGTGTCTCAAAGAAATGACTCAGAAGGAAGGAAAAGGAACTTATACTGAGAGTCTTACAAGCCCGTTGTTCATAATGGACACAATCTATACACACCCAAAGGTTCATCAGGGAAGATAACAAGCCAGAGTCTGCTGTTCAAACCAAGACCTTTATATATGGGATGGCCATCACACCCTGCTTGCAACTATGCATTTCAGCATGTCAAAGTTGAAAGTGCTTAGCTGTTCATGAAGTCATTATGTTTTTTATGTGCCCAGTATATGAAATGCTTGAGGAATATGGAATTTCATGGGTAATTTCTACATGCATCACAAGAATGAAAAAGCATAAATGAGCCGAGTACTGATCAAAACTAGTTGGCCTGTGCAGAAGTATTTTGGAAGTATTTTGGAAGACTGGCCGTGAGTCAGCAGGGCCCTGCTGTTTTCAGAGAAGCTGGTATATAATTTGGGTAACCGTATGTTCCGGTTTGCCTGGGACAGTCCTGGTTTACATCTGTTGCACTGGCGTCTTGTCCAGTTTTGCATTTGTCCAGACAAAAGGATCGTGTAGGTGCTGTGAGGCCCAGGATATAGTCTTACTCATTTTTGTATCCAAACCTAGGTACTTACCACAGGGCCTCACTTAGTGCATGCCCAACAGAAGTTTGTTAAATAAACAACAGAAAAGATGGTGACTGTGTGTTTTCCATTCGCCATCCAGTAAACATCTATTGAGCCATGCCCTGTAATGAGTTCCAGGAACATGAAGATATATAAGGCCTGACCTTGCCCTTGGGAATTTAGAGTCTGCTGGATACGGGTCAAAAGGTTAACACCAGGGCAGGAAGTCCAGAGAGCGTGTGGGGAGATTGCCCCACCTAGCAGCCTATTCAGGTAGTGAGCATGTGCAAAAGTTGTAGTCAGGACATATGTGGGCAGTTAGAGACCTTTAAGGAATTTGGTGGGGCCAGTGCTGTGATATAGTAGGTCAAGCCTTCGCCTTGGCACTGGCATCCCATATGGGTGCTGGTTCAAGTCCCAGCTGCTCCACTGCTGATCTAGCTCCCTGCTAAAGGCCTGGAAAAGCAGTGGAAGATGGCCCAAGTGCTTGAGACCCTGCACCCATATTGGGGACCTCAAAGAAGCTCTTGTTTCCTGGCTTTGGCCTGGCCCAGCCCTGGCCATTGTAGCCATTTGGGAAGTGAACCAGTGGATGGAAGATCTCTCTGTTTCTCCCTTTCCCTATAACTCTGCGTTTCAAATAAATAGATAAATTTAAAAAAAGGATTTGCACAATATACCCCTCTTGTCTTCTGAATTTTGAACCATGCAAGTGTATTATCTATTCCAAAATAAGGAGGAAAAAGGAGTTGGGGGGTGGTGGTGGTATGTGATTCCAAGCTGGCTGCTAGCTCATTGGGCACAGAGAATCTTCTGGAAAGAGCACAGGAGGAGCCTCAGGAGAGAGAGAGGGGAATGCAGCTACCCAGCATCTGCCATCAAGTAATGTTTCATCACTTGAGGGTTACTCAGAGAGCTAACCTGGCTGTATTTGCAGATGTGTAAAATAGATCATTAGCAGTTCTCTGGGAAATAAGGTTCCATATCCCACAGTGCTGATCTGTTTTTTTTTTTTTTTTTCCCAAGATTTATTTGTTTATTTGAAGGGCAGAGTTACAGAGAGGCAGAAGTAGAGGCGGGTGGGGTGGTCTTCCCTCCACTGGTTCACTCCCCAGATGGCAACAATGGCTGGAGCTGCACTGATCCAAAGCCAGGAGCCTGGAGCTTCTTCCGAGTCTCCCACATGTTAAGGGGCCCATCTAAGGTCCTTGGGCCATCTACTGCTGCTTTCTCAGGCTATAGAAAAGAGCTGGATTGGAAGTAGAGCAGCTGGGACTTGAACCAGCACCCATATGGGATGCTGGCACTGCATGTGGTAGCTTTACCCACTACGACACAGTGCACTGGGCTGGATTGATCTGGTTTTGAAAACAGAGGAGCAAGTCAGCTTAGATGTGCTGCAACAGGGAGTGTCCAAGAGACAGGGGAAAGGAGGCATGGGAGGGGAAACAGTAGTGCATGGGGTTTGCGGTCCCGAGAGCAGTGTTACAAGACTTCTCGGTGACAGATTGTGGTGTGGAGCTCTGTTCATCCACAGTGCTGTCTACTGGCTGGTCCCTCAATCCAGAGGTCAGTGACTGACCCTTTGGGGAAAGGTTCTCATCTATTTCTCTGATCATTTTCTCTCTTCTCTTTTGTTGGGAAACTCTGAACTTATTCTTTATGTTTCTTATCTTTTGCTCTTATTTTCTTTCTCTCTTTAAAGAAAGATTTATTTATTTGAAAGTGAGAGTTACAGAGACACAGGGAGAGACAGAGGTCTTCCATCTGCTGGTTCACTCCCCAGATGGCCACAATGGCCAGGGCTGGGCCAAGCTGAAGCCAGGAGAGCAGGAGCTTCATCCAGGTCTGCGATGTGTGTGCAGGAGCCAAGCACTTGGGCCATCTTCCACTGCTTTCCCAGGCACATTAGCAGGGAGCTAGAATGGAAGTGGAGCAGCCAGGACATGACCCAGTGCCCACATGGGATGCTGGGGTTGCAGGCGCCGGCTGAATCTGCTGTTGCCATGACGCTAGTCCTTCTGCTCCTGTTTTCTAGCTCTGTGTCTTCATTTATTTTTCTGAGGGAGAGATGACACCTCTGTTTTTTCCTCCAACCATTCTATTTTTTTAAAGTATTTTACTATGGGAAATCTCAAACACATACAAAAGAAGAGAGACTAGAATAATAAACAACATACCCTACACTTGGCTGCAGCAGTTACCCATCTATGGCTACTTTTGCTTCATCTGTGGCCCTACGCAT